TGTTAATCAGACTCCTCCGCAATAAAGATCTCTTGGTTGCTCCAAGTGACATGGTCACTTTCCTTTCATTCTTCACCGCCTCATCCCACCTCCACCAGGGGACAGCCCCACTTGGAGGCTACATGCAGCATAAAGGCATGGAGTGTCTGCAGGGGAGAGAGAAGGAGGCATCTCCAGAGGAAGCACCCAGCCCACTGGCAGACAGGGCACCAGCACAGAGGGAGAGCCATGGACCTCTAGAGGCTCAGAACAGAGGGCACAGCAGCAAGTGGGTGGGAATACACTAGGCTGAAGCTTCTTGGTCCCCATCCAGAGAGGAGAACACAAGCAGGAAGCACCCAGAGTGCTTTCCATATCTGCTGTTTCTGTTGGGAGCACTCGGCCGTGTATTTTAAAACCAGAATCACTAGCCCTTCTAAACTATGCAAAATTCCTCCCGACATGACAACTCACACTCGTCCCACAAGCTTTAGGGAGACTGTCTCATTTGCACATTAACCCCAAATTTAAATCACAACCTATCAGATGAAACAGTCTCTTATTCTTAGTTTGGCTTGCTGATTAGAACTGGCTAAGTAGCACTTAGTGTGTGTTGATAGAATGTGGTCCAAAACCCTACTATGTGCAAAGTCCTGAGGGGGTAGAGCTCTTTACCTCTCTATTCTCTCCTGTAGCCCACCCTCAGGCCACCCCACACTCCTGATAGTTCTCCAGTGCAGAGCATTCCACCGAACTCCCAAACCTCTTAGCACCTGTCAGGTGCCCTTGCCCCTTCTTCTCAGTGAATTTCTATTCTTCAAGATCCTGTTTTGGCATTTCCTCTGTGACATGGTGCCTGGATTCTCGATTTTCCCCTTCTAAGTCCCCACTGCCCCACAGAGACCACTGTTATAATGTTGACCATGCTTTCTATATTTCTTCTCTTTATTGAGCCACCAGCTATTTGAATTCAGAGGACTGCACTTTTTTAAATACTGCATTTTTTTTAAATACTGCATTTCTTTCAAGAAGTGCAATGACTGTCAGTAAAAACTGAATGGCTGAATGAATGAAAAACTAATGGATCAGATTCCACACCAAAGGATGTTTAAAAGCCAAAAGTTTTTGACGCGATTAGAGTTCTGCCTTAAAGAGTATAAAGCAGCAGGTAAGCAAATGGAGCAACATTAATGGTGAAGACCATTCAAGAACTGGGAAAGCTTGACCCGAGGAAGGGAAGACGTAGGCAGAGGCAGAAGACCGGAGGGGACTTCACAGTGGTTAATGCCGAAGTCTGGCTGGGCACAAGTCACGAGCCACTCAAGCAGGAACAAACTTTATTTCCAAACTCCGGGAACGCCACCCATGCTGCCCTTCCAGGCACACCACACACCAACTGGAACTCGCCACCCCCAACTCTCCCGAACTGCAAAGTAGCGGGCAACCAAGGCGAACTGCAAAGTAGCGGGCAACCAAGGCGGACAGTAAAGGTCTAATATACAATTGAATACACAGCCTGTTTCAATCCAGCATCATCCAGTCACAGCAATTATAGACAGCTTAACTTAATATCATCATCTTAATGGCTTGCCTCTCAACCATACTTCTGGCAAAATGCCAGGGGCCATTCCGACTCTCAGCAGGTTTTAAATGCATGACCCAGAGTGGCAGGTAAGAGAGGTGAAGCATCAATTTTATGGTTCCAAAAGGGTAGAACTAGACTCACTAGGTGGAAAGTAACAGAAAGCATTTTGGCCTAACATTCTTGAGTTCAGTATTTCCCCCCTTCTCTGTGGTTTTGTTTTCCAAAATCTCAGTTACCCACAGTTAATTATAGCCCCAAAAAATTAAATGGAAAATTCCAGAAATAAGCAATGCATAAGTTTTAAATTACACAACATTTGAGTTGCATAATGAAATCTCATATTGTCCAGCTCCATTCTGCCCAGGACATGAATTGTCCCCTTGTCCAGCATACCCATACTGTATATGACACCTTCCCACTAGTCACTTAGCAGCCTTCTTGGTTATCAGATCAACTGTTGTGGTATCTCAATGCTTGTGTTCGAGTAATCTTTGTTTTACTTAGTAATGACCCCAAATTGTGAGAATAGTGATATTGGCAACTTGGATATGACCAAAAAAAGCCACAAAGTGCTTCCTTTGGTGAAAAAGTAAAAATAAAATATGGTATTTTGAGAAACAGAGACCACATTCACATAACTTTGATGACAGTGCTATTTTTATTATGTTATGGTTGCAAAACTCTGTCTAATTTATAAATTAAACTTCATCATAAATATGTATTTGTAGGGAAAAAAACAGTAAATGTAGAATTCAGTGCTCTCTGTGGTTTTAGGTTTCCAGTGGCAGTCTTGGAATGAATTCTCCAAGGATAAGGCAGAATTACTATAATTGAAGTTGTCCAAAATGGAATGAGATCTCTTAGGAAGTAATGCATTTCCTGACACTAAAGGAGTCTGAACAGGAACCCTATGACCATCTGGTAGTGGGATCGGACTAGATGAATCTTAGGGCTTCATTGACTCTCAAGATTCTGAGTTTTTGATGGTAATGGAAGTACTCTGCAAGATCACTAAATTTCATAAGAGACACGGCAATTTTTTGTTTGAAACACTCAGAAATGCTGAACTATATCAAAGCCTAGATGAGTGAGGAGATAAAAATGATGGAAGAACTGTTAGATGGGCAAGCATGCAGGCATGCCTGCCCATAACTTCAGCCACAGAACTAGGAATTGACAAAGAGATCTGTTGTTTCCTGAAGACATCAGCTCAAAGCCACTGTCACATAAAATATGGTAGACACTGATGATAAAATAAAATATATGGTCTTATTAGTGGACAAAACTTTGTAGATCTCCAGGAAAACTTCTCTCCTGGAACTTATATTTCAGGTAGAGACATTAGGGCCACATGAAGCCCAAATGAACTAATCAACCAAAGTGATAAGCATTACCACCAGACCACCACTGGGTTAAATAAATATTTCAAGTGTGAACGCAGAATCTTGAGAATTGAAGAAAATGTGATCTTGAGACTAAAACCCTTCAATCTGAAAGCAATGCAGATCAAAGTGCATAAAAAGCATGAGGAGTAGAGAGGAGAATCAGATGTGCTCACTGAATTCTGGGATGTGGGTAGTGGTTTGGCTCCTTTCAGGGATGCAAGAACCTTAATTCTCTCACTTCAGTTACTAAGTCAACAGAACACAAAGGGAAGCAAAGGTTATCAGCTTGTAGCTATCTGGAGTTGTATTCGGTTTAGCTGCATCTAGTGGAGACAACAAATCAAAAGCACCAACCAAACCAAAGCAGCACCCACGGTACCAGTCCATGTAACCCCTAACTGAAATCTGAGAAAGTGGAAATTATCTGAGATGTGTTTGTAGAGAATTGGGCTTCAAATTCCTTCTGCCAGTGTTTGAAGACTGGCAGGAAGAGGTCACCTGACAAACCATGACACTGGAAAATTGAAAGGTTATCATTCCCAAAAAGGAAAAAGAGGTAGAAAGAAATAAACACCAGACATTTAAAAAGAAAAATAACCAGTAAACAAATAGGGGTGGTAGTTTAGTACAGTTGCTCAGAATGGAGTCACTGGGTTGAAAACAATGTGGTGGGAAGAGTATTAGACTGGAAACCAGATGTGGTATGTTCTATTTCTGGTTTTGCCACCAATGAAAAGAATTGTAGTGTTTTTAGATTTAAATAGGTGCTAAAAGAATGAAAATATTTTAAAATATCATTTGTCATGGAAACTAATAATGTACCAATGATCAGGGTCTTCTAGGTGGCACAACTGAGAAGACTGTAATGGTAAGTTCGTTGAATCAGAGAGAAAATGACCTGAAGGTGCATCATCCCTCCTAAGCTAATGCTGGAGTCCACTTCTCTGCAGAGGGAGGTAGCGAAGGTAGTGCATATCATGAAAATTTGGTTTGTGTTGAGAAGCAATAGAAAATAATTTAGACATATTGCTCGGGCAAGCAAGGTTCTGCACGTGTGGTTTATTCTATGTGTCTTTCAACTATTTGGTTAGCACTTAAGTTTTGCTTTTAGTACTTATTTACATTCATGTGAACTGAACCCAAAAATAGCGTCTTTTATGACCCTGCAGGTTTAGCTAGATGTGGGGAGGTTGTTCAGAACTGGCTTCCTGTTAGGTAATTGTGACTTTGGGCAGTTACTCTTGCTTCTCTCATCTCACTTTCTTCCATTTGTTTGCTTACCATCTTTTTCCAAACAGGAAAGTAACAGAGGTGATACAAATGCAAGTCATCCCTATGCTAGACCAGCTGTCAACACTGGGATTGAATAAAGGTTAGGGCTCCTTCTCTTAGGGATACGGACAATGAGGCCCAGGGAGGGGAAGGATTGGGGCCCAGGGCACGTATTAAGGTAATGGCAATGAGGGCTCAGATGTGGGGTTCCTGAAGGCAAGGGCAAAGTTCTTTTCATTACACTACATAGTCTGTAGTAGGTACTACTTAAAACTTCTGAAGTTTGGGCACAGGGGAACAGAGGGAATAGTGCCCATGAGTGAGGGTTCTCTCAAATGCATGACAAAGGCATCTCTTGGGGACAAAGGCTGTTGAGGAAGAGGAAACATGGAAACTTGAAAATAATTATATATGGGGACTCAAACAAGGCAGAAAAGAGAGAGAGAGAGAGAGAGAGACAGAGAAAAAGAGAGAAAATGTCAGGGCAGTATACTTCTACTGCATTTGTTCTATTTGATGCAGAACTGAATGTGTTTATTGCAAATTATAAGCATCCTGTTCTTTTACCCTAGTTCTCCTTTGGTCAGAATCTCCTCTTACCCTACCTTGCTCCCATGATCCGCCCTTCCCAACATTAATTTCTTTTTCTTTTCATTTCTATTACTCTCCTCAAAGTGGCATTAATAGGAAAAATATTAAATGCTTAAATTAGCAAAGTCTCTTTGGGGGGCATTTTGGTTTTTAACACTGGCTTATTTCCTCCTTTTAACAAATATGTAAGTTCTCGGTACACAGTAAGTACTGGATAAGTGTTTGTTGAACAAAGGTCATCTTTTAGCTATATCTTAGGTGGTAAGATCAATAATGGTGGTGGTTATATTTATTTTATTCATTTGTTCATTCTTTCAACAAATATTAGTTGTGTGGTAGTGGTCCTGGTGGTATAGCAGAGCAGCAGGGGCAAGGTGAGCAGCCCACAAACTCAGTCTGAATGATACATTGGACACTGCGCAGGATTTTGAGTCAGGATATTTAGATTTCATATTTCAATATAACACTGAACAAACTGCCTGATTTTTCTGAGCCCCAGTTTCTCCACCTGTGGAATAGGAATGGTGAAAACAGCCCTATCAGACCTAGTATTCATGGGGGCAGGTCTATTTAGTTTGGTAGGGGCAAATGCCACTTTCACTGGTAAACTGACTCCCCTTCTTGTCTCCACGGCTCAGTCACTTGGAGGAGGGTATACCATGTTCCTCGGTGGGTCTTTGGTTAAGTTTCATCCCCCTCCAACAAGGAGGTAGGCTAAAGAATGAAATAGAGAACAGGAGATTGGTCACAAGATGATGGAACATTGATAAAATTAAGGACTTATTTTCTTTATTTTTAAGTTTCAGGTTTGGGTTTAAGTACGGTTGGTGTGGGCAACTGTTGGGTAAACACTAATCAGTGCCTAGGAAAGCTCGCATAAGGACGCTAAAGAATGTGATAGGAAGGAAATGGAGAGAGGAAGCTGGCCACTTCCCTTGTCTCCAACCCAGAGGTGAGGACCATTGCAGAGTGACCTGGTTGTAAAGTTTAAAATCTGAAGGGCTCCACTGCACAGTGGGCGAGCAGTCTGTCCTAGGTGTTGACCCTGCTTGTAGGCACAGAGTGCTCTCCTGGTATCCCGGCCAGCTGCCACCCAGAAGCACATAAGAAAATGTCCAAAACCTCTCAGTTGAGTCCTCCAAATTCTTTCTTTGGGATCAGTAAACAATGTGCTCGGGTGTCTGCAGCCCTGGGAGGATAAGCAACATTTCCTAACCACCTTCTTGGACATTACATTGTTCTTCCAAACTGGGGATGTCCCAACAGAGCAATTTAAACATGCTAGGTCAAAAGCAAGAGATGAAATGAAAGCCTTCACACCCCTATTTGAAAAGGGATGTGTTTTGGCATCAACACATCAGGTAACTTGTTGGCCATTAGCAGCGTAGCCATCAGAAGCAGTCAGAGAAGCAGGAGAGGCAGTGGGGTGGATGGACGGCAGGTTTTTCTCAGCCTTCTCTTTTATGGGAATTGGTGAATAAATAAGCAATTATTTTCATAACGTGCTTTAGCAGTTTCTAAGGAAATAAATTTTAATCTTATGGCTCTCCCAGGCTTGTCAAAGCTAATGAGGTATAAGATAACATTTTCCTCCTCATCAGGAACTCATACACCCATACACTCAATGTCAACACTAGCTGTTTTCTTTTGGAGGAAATGATTAATGACTTACCTAAGATCGTACTGTTAAACAAAACTCTAACTCAAACCAGATTCTCCCCATTTCTAGTCCATTGGCCTTTACCTAGCCTTAAAACTCACATATGCAAACAGAAAGGTACATTTATCTTTCCCCCAAGAAATAATTGATTTACTTTAAGAAAATCAATGTAATAAGTAATAAGCCAATATTGATGCATTATTGTTAACCAAAGTCCATTTTATTCAAGTGTATGCTTTGCATAGAACTTCCTTCCAAAGATCACAGTAAAGAAATAGGGTAAAAGAGTAACTCAACAGTGGAGAAACTTGACCAGCATTATTCAGTCAGGTGATCAAGGTCAACACTAACGGTCATAGGTCACGGTGATGGTAAGCACCCTTGATTTGATGTGATCAAAACAGCATGCTAACTCTGTGATCTTCCTCCCCAGACCATAATTCTAGGGTAATCATGAGAAAATGATCAGATAAATGCCCACAGAGGATAATCCTACACAGTGCCTGACCAGCTCTCCTCAAAATTGTCAAGGTCATAAAAAATAAGCAAAGTCTGAGAAAATGTTACAGCCAAGCAAAGCCTAAGAAGAAATGACAACTAAATGCAATGTGGAATCTTGGGAGGGGGAATCCTAGAGTAGAAAAGTAGCATTACATACAAACAAAGAAACATGAATAAAATGGACTTTGGTTAACAATAATGCATCAATATTGGCTCATTACTTCTAACAAATGTACCACATTTCCCTGATATAATAAGGGAAATTAGGAGTAGATTATATGTAAACACTCTATTTTCTCAAATTTTCTGTAAATCTAAAACTAGTCTCTGAAAAGAATCTTTTTTTAAAAAAATCAACAAGTTACAGTGTAAATTATATAAGAGAAACAACTTACCAGATGTTTCTGAATAGAAAAAAAATTCTGCTTTGGTTCTAGAAGTCCACAAAAAAAGATTAGGGCAGCTCTCTGTCTTGGTACAGATATTTGGAACCGGCTGTATAAGGGCTACGTGGACCTTGCAGCCAGTCACAAAGTCACATTACACGGCAGAAGTGAAACTAACTTGCCATCCGGAGGCTATTCACCACAGTCTCCTCCCTCACAGGACACAAGCTATTTTCTACTTTCATTTAAACTTAAATTGTATGTGAAGGCTCCTGCACCCTTCTCTGCCTTCTTCCTATAAACAGGAAGATCTTAGTCCTTCTCCTGTTCAGTAGTATCAAAATCACTTTCAGGCAGACATTCTCCTGATTGCAGTATCCACTCTGCAACATTCTTTCTTGGAGGGTGAACGCTATTCAGGTGGATCTGGCTCACTTAAGCAGAATGGAAAAATGTCCCAGTTGCAAGAGAGATAAAGAGCTGGTTTCTGGACACCAAAATAAGAGACATGGCTGGGAGAGATGAAGAATATGCGACAGTAAAAATAAACCAATTCTTGATAAAAAGTCCTGAAGTTCACCCAAAATAAAATCCATAAAAAATTTAACACTTGATTGTTTGATTAGAGAAATGAATGGCAAGCCACTTTAAATAACTCTTTCTGAAACTTCAGTTTTAAATCCATATTTTTAAGAACAGATATTTTTAAAGTACTGTCCAATAGAGAAGAGAGGAAAAGAAAACCTATTCCACTGTGCTGTGCCTGGGAACCAAACAATGACTCTGACTACAGGGAAAAGACTTTAACCTTCAGTTTCAGGTTGTGTGTTACCTCCAAAAGCTGACTGGCTCCTCACCAGGACACCTCTCAGGGACTCAGGGACTCTAGGTGTGTACTTAGTCCAAAGTGGGGATGTAGAAAGTAAATGGATCAAAATGAGGAAAGAATTGAAGGTGAGTCTTTTTTTTTTTTTTTTTGGTACTGAGGATTGAACCCAGAGGTGCTTAACCACTGAGCCATACCTTCAGCCATTTTTAAAATATTTTATTTAGAGACAGGGTCTCCCTGAGTTGCTAAGTGCCTCGCTAAATTGCTGAAGCTGGTTTTGAATTCTGTCCTCCTGTCTCAGCCTTCGGAGCTGCTGGGATTACTGAAGGTGAGTCTTAAAAGACTGCTTTGAACTTTTAGCAAGATGATGTACCCCCTCCCTAAGAAAATCATAGAAGGGCCAATATAAAGTTCAAAACAAAGAAAATCCATATGAATGCCATCGTCGGTGTGGGATCTTCTTACCACTCTGGGCTAAATCGCTCTCAGGCTGACATTCATATCTCACGCGCTCAGCTCTCCCTCTGCCGGCGATTTCTTTGCTTCCACAGTTATCTCTATTCCTAACCAGAAGTGCCCCCAAATGATTTAAGAACTAAACTAGTTCTGAGTGTTTTTAAAGATGCCTGAATTCCTTATGAGAGACCTTGGAACCTGCTATTGGAGACCCAAATGCCTGGTCTCTTGGGAAATATTTCCATCGGTCTTAAGATGACAAAAAGTACGGACATGTACTTTTGACAGGACAGGTCGTGTCGTAGGGGGGTCCTATCCCGCCTCTGTTAACGAAAGGGTTCTTAACCTGTAGTCCGCGGACAAAGGAGATCTTGGATGAGGTTTTGGAAAAACTATCCCAAGTCCTGCCTCCAAACTCTGCAAAACGTATGTTTTTCTGGAGAGACAGCCACAGCTTTCACGATGGTTGCCAATGGAAGGGTATGTGCCATTCTTCTGGGACCACAGTGACCCACTGGCCTCACAGCCTGCAGGTCAGACACTTGTTACTGGATTCCTGCCTGGTGCCTGCCAGGCTCTGAACTGGCTTCCACCACATGGGCCTGCGGTCTCCCCACGCGTTCCCACATGAGCTCCCACACGCCATTCAGGGACCACCCGCCCTCACTTAGGCTTCCTGGGGCAGAAGCTCTGCCTCATCGCTGCACTGCCCAGGCAGGTCTTTCCAGATCCCAAGCTGCCACTCGGTTCGTGCCTGGGCCCACAGACCCTGCGGGGCCGCGGTCGAGCCCCGCCCCTCAAGAGCCCCGCCCCTAGCGCCCTCCCCTCTCGCTCCGCCCCTTCTTCCCGCCCCGCCCTGGGGACAGAGCGCGGCTGTGTGCGCGCAGACTTCTGGGAAGAGCTTTACGGTGTGGTAGCTGTCCTTTTACGACTGGCGGGGTTGCTTTGTGGCTGTTAACTTTCTCCGTGGTCTGAGCTACAGTGTCGTGGTGGCATCAGGACCGACGGCGCAGAAATGAGGCAGAAGCGGAAAGGTGCCAACCGGGAGGGCGAGGGGGAAAGTGGGGTGGTCGCCCCGGCGGTCAGGTGCAAAACCCAGCTTTCCCCCTTGGGAAATCTGCTGCCCAACCCAGTCTCCTCGCCGCCCGGGTCGGTGGTGGGGGATTGCAGCCCCCGCCTTCTCGTTTCCTCGGGATGCTGTTTAAACCAGCCTGCGCGGACTCTCCGTCTGCCTCTCGGGCAGGCTCTTGGTGTCTTTTGCATAAGTCGCAGGGTGAGCTTTATAGCAAAGTGTGCTCTTCCAGGAGTTAACGTGGTTAGTGCATTTAACGCCTTCTCGGACTCTCACGTTAAGGTTTATTTTACGAGGCATTTGACGTGTCTGAGATTTTCTTTTTAAGCCTTAAGTATGAAAAGCCATGGATTATCCTTGAAGTCTGTGGAACAGTTGTGCATGCGTTGACTCCCATTTTTCTTTAGTTTCTCAACGGAAAGGAGTGAAATTTTAGACGTCCTCCCAGGTTCTGTTCTTATCGCCATGTGCTCACTGGTCTAATAATGCTAATGGTTATCAGAATAAGAACTACTTTTATTGAGTCTTTACTAGTCATTCCGAAGTCACTATCATCTCCATTTTACGCATAAAGAGATTCAGTTAAGTAACTTTCCCAACCCATTATACATAGGAGATAGGGAGCTGGTTGCTCAGGCTGTGTCTGTGACTCCAAAAACACAAATGAAAAGTAAATGTGTGTCCTTAATCACTATGCCTCTTGGCATTAATTACTATTTATCTTCCCAAGCAGTTCCCAGTCTCCTGAGTGTTGTCTATTATCTTGTCACATCAAACTCGACATGCCCCAAATTAAATTTGTCCTTATCTCTAACTTGCTCCTCTCAGTCAGCCAGGCCAGACAACTTAATTATTTTAGCTTGATCTGACATCAAACCCTGATACCTGTTACTTAGAAGTCACACTTGAAATAGTTTACCCTTTCTCATTTTGGTCACTGTCATCCTAATCTGCTTTCACCAATAACTAATATTTGAAAAATTCTTTGGCTTTCATATATGTTATCACATATATGTAATCTTGTGAGATTTGTGCATACTATACCAATTTTACAGACAAGGACATAGATACTCAGAAGGCTTTGATCCTCCCTTTATCACATAGTCAACAAAGGTTGGGATTGGAATCTGCCTTGTTAAAGGTTTGTGTTTGTTTGTTTTTAATTTCAGAGCTTGTGGACTTTTAACTATTGCCTTTCAAGAGCCTTTTGCTTAGTGTCCAGTTTATATGTATGCTTTTCCCCTTTGAAATCATTCTTTGTATGACATTCTCATTTTTTTAAAACACTACTTGTACCTTTTTGTTTCCAAAGTTGAGAATATGAAAATCTCTGTTGTGTATTGATTTCTATTTAAATGCCTTTGTCTTGTGCCATTGTACTCTCAGCTATCTGACCTTTGCTGAACCCTGAGCCCTGTCCGGCAGCTTGTGCTGTAGTTAGGCAGTGCTCCTTCACACACAAATAGGTTACTCTTATGCATGACATTAGTCCTTTAGATTGCTTTCTGTGTCCAGATCCTGCCCATGTTCAGAAAAAAGAGCCGGTGCCATTTCTTCTATGAAGCTTTTTCTGATTTACTGTTCTATTTAATTCAAGTGGTTTTCAGATCTTCATCTATTTTTTATCAGCCCAGCCTCCTTTTACCCTCCAAATAAAGTTTTCTGCAGAACCTCAGTATGTAAAGAGATGAAAACAGAGCTGCTGTGGTGTAATGGAGAGAGACCCTTCCCTTCCCTTCACTTCTTCCTCTGCCACCACCACCAACCCTTCCTGTTACGTGGCCCCTTAAGCACCTTTGTAAAACTCTGAAGTGCTGAACTATGTGAGTTGGAAAGCATTTAGCCCCTGACTGTAGGCAGACTTTTTCTCTCAAGTTGTTTTTGTGTGTTAGTTTTGTCTCCTTAAATAGAGGTGTGTAGCGCAGTGTGGCGGGGGAGAGGGGGAACCATGGAAATGATAGTGAAAAGACTGGATTTGTGCATTTACAAAGATGTTGTAACTTACCTTTGCTGATTTTATCTGTAAAAGGAGACAACAGTACTTATGTTACAGTGTTTCAAGTGGAATCAAAGTAAATGAAAGGGCTTCAGGGCTTTCTCATCCATCCTTCTGTGATGACTTCATTATCACTGCATACCAGCTTTCTGTGCAGGCAGAAGCAAGCTGGCTGACAGCCCCAAGCTGAAAAAGAGTGGCATCTTTTTCCTTGAGGAAAAGAACTCAGATTGGCCTTGAACCAGTAAACTGGGATTGAGGATGGGGTCATATAAGAACATGATAGCTTCTGCTGTGTCTTTGGATGACAAGGGGAACCCAAGTTGGCAGGAGAGGGTAATGATGGTGGGCAGACTAGATCTTAGAAACATGTTAAGATCCTTAATAGTGTAAAACCTAAAGCCCTGCTTTGCAATGCTGTCACTACAAATAGAAGATAGTTTCAGCTTCACCCTTTGTGATATCTTTATGGGCAATTGTTCTGTCTGCCACACTCTATTCTAGGTATCAGTTGAATTAATGCATCTAAATGTTCTCTATGAACTGTAAAGTATGCAAAATTAGTAATTACTAATCTGGAGCTAAAAACAAGATATTTAGTTACTGTACAAGTAAGGGGTTGGGGCCTTTTTTCTAGCTTATATTTTCCTGTATCTAACTGTAATATTCTCATAATGTTATATGCTTCTAATGGAACCTTTTCCCATGTGTAGGTAAAGCCAGGTTTGTTTCAAAATAAAGATACAAAAGATATGATCATATTGTAAACAACAGATATTTAGTGTCTTATAAACTTGAGCTACTCTCTCATAGTTGGATTGATTTTGAAGAAAAACTCCTACTAAATAAGATTTTAAAATCTTTACTAAATGATGTATTTTTTAAACTACTATTAAATCTTATCTTTTCAGGAGATCTCAGCCCTGCTGAGCTTATGATGCTGACTATAGGAGATGTTATTAAACAACTGATCGAAGCCCATGAACAGGGGAAAGACATTGATCTTAATAAGTAAGTGTAAAAAGAGGTAGTTTTGTTCATAAGTAGTAGTTC